TTCCCTACATTACACTATTGCCATATACGGAATACTGCTACAGCAAAGGAATTATTGCAATGTTTCAAATACATCAATACATGCAAAATACTTCAGATGACATTCCTGAGCATTTCAACAGTGTCACAGAACTGTAGCTTTTCCTGTGATTGACCACATTCAGCTGCATCCTCATTTTATCATTTTGCCTCATTAACTTAAAAACATACCCTCTTTTACAGAAGACTAAAATGATTTCTCTCTTTAGAAATTCAAACAATTCTTTGTTCATGGACTGCATAAACCTAACAAGAAAAAATATACATGTGGTACATTCTGTATTTACCTCAGTATAAGGTGAGGGATTTCTGTGGGTCAGAAAACGGACCCGAATTTAGCTCTAGCGCTATGCTGTGTTTAAGGTCAAAGACTTGGGACAAACTGCCTTTGCACTGCTATACAATCAGCCACTTTTGGTTCCCAATGAACTATGGATTGGGTAAGAGCTTGTTTCTGTGTAAGGCAGCAATTCCCATAGGTGCTCACTGCCTAAAGCGACTCAGGACCCATGCCACACAAAAGAGGACACAAGGTTGTGGCAGTGGCCAAGGGCTTTGGGAAATTACGAGCGACAAGGCATAGAGTGTGATCAGGCAAAGTGACAGTGGACAGAAAGAAGAAAGCACAGAAGCAAAAAACCACATGTTGCCCTCCTCCCACTAAAATGGGGAAAAAAAGAAAAGTACACATCTTACATATAGAATCACCTTATATTTGGTAAAATACAAGTGAGCATATACATATATGCTTGCGCAAGAGTCAGTCCACATGTGAGTTTCCATTTTGCAGTTGGTTACAGGAAAAGAATGACAGTCTGATCAGCCAAAGATGAAACGGATCACAATAAAAAGATTTCAGAATTTGAGGCACTATGAGGTACCAGCTTGAGACTGAGTTTAAGATTCAACATGTACATTTTGGTAACAAAAAAGTAATTCTTACTTATATTTGAAAAAAGAATTTGTGGGGATCCATTATTTTCATGCAGTTCAGCACTGGTTCTTTTCAAAATGGAGTGCATTACGACTTTTAAAATTGAATTAAACTACGAAATTATGTTCATACTTAATCCCATTTCAGAACAAAAGAATAGTGATGCTACAGTAGAAGTATTTACAACACTTCTGCACACACTTATGTTAGTTCATTTAAAAACAGTAAGATTGTGTGCACATGTACATTCTGCATAAGCAAAATTACAACACAGATAAAAAATAGAATTAACGTATTCCAGCTGATACTCACCTACATAGCATTTCATTCCAGATTTCAGAGCAATGAAAGCGCTAACTGTGCATTCATGATACAAATGCACAAGACTAAAATGTTCTAAGATGCCTATCCTAATTCCCCAAAGTCAGATTACAGTAAAACTGGTGCTAAATGATCTGCATTAAGTACTATCACTGCATATATACAGTACTTACTTACAAGCAAAATGTGTACAAGTTTATGTAACTTAATATAATCTATATAAACAAGTTCTCACAGCCAGTGTGCAAAACAAAGCAGTAATGTAATGATTTAATTTAAGCAGAACTAAAATGGACTGTGAGTTTCACTGCTTAATTTTGTTAATGTCTAGGCACACACTCCACACCATAATCAAATTCCTATTTTATATTTTTTACAGGCAAAAAGTTAACTAATGAACAAAGGATTACCTGCATCATCAGGTGTCCATGGATTACGAGTTGGCTTTTCAGAGGTTGGTCCCGAGGTAGTGATCATTCTCACACTAGGACTAGATGATCTACTGCTATTTCTACTCTCCTGAAATGATAAAATAAAACAAAATGACAAGGAAAGTTAACAGAAAATTTTTTGAAGGGTTCATTTTAAAAAACATTATCAAAAAGAAAAATAAATGTGAAGAAACATGAACCTGTAATCCTCCCCAAATACTTTCCTCGCCAAGCTTTTACCCTGAAAGCTCTCCAGATAGTTTGATAAACTTTACATGCATTGCAGGGATAATTTAATCTCTGTTTCTACTCCATCTTTACCATATTAAAAAAAAAAAAGAATATAATTCGGCTATTCAGCATAATAAAGAGCAGTGCTGAACAACATGTTCAAGATCCTTATGTAAAAGCACAACACTCTGCCTAGTAATTTTCACACCACCATTCAGATAAATCTAGCAGCTCCATAACGTAAGGAAGAAATGAAGTTTGTTTCCAATGTTTAATCAATGTATGGAACTACATTCAACTAAAGGAACGCAGCTTTGTAACTGCACTAGATTGGGGTGTATTAATCTACAGTTTTCTCACGGTTCTCAGGTTAACTCGGAGGTTATGCGATTCATCTTCAGAAAACATGAAAAAAGTGTTTAATCAAAAAGGATCAATCAAAGCAAGCAATTAGAAAATGAGTACATTTTTCTTGCAAAGCAAATTAAGAACTAAACCAAAATTCTGTAGGAAGTTCCTTTACATACAGCTTGATTCCTCCAGTCCTTTTGTTTACCAAAGCACAAAAACATAATACAGACCTCATTATGCTACTGCGGTTCTTTTTCAGAATTATTATTTACAATATACATTCTTGTATTTCATATACCCCCTCACTGACATAAAATTAACACAGTAAAGGACTTAAGACTATAAACCTCAGCAAGTTTTGCAGGAAAAAATGAAGTAAAAAGATGCTATTAAAATACAACTATTTTCAATATGGTGTATTTATCATGAAATGATTAATTAAACATCCCTATTTTTCAAAAGAAGAACTCAAATATACATTACCTGGAAACTGTATTTCTTTATGATTCTAATTTCCAAATATCCTATCTTAATTTAATTTTTAAAAGCCAGGATTTCAGTCAAGTAACAATCCAAAGAGTAACAAGATTCTACATGCCGAAATATCCATTATTTCAACTGCATTACATTACTCCTGTAATTTTTATTAACTATTTAGTGTTTCAGGTTAGTGGCTAGAAACAGGGCAATAAATTATTGTAGAAGTAATCCGAGAGATAATATTATCAGGATGATGGCATCAGACAATTTGAAAAAGCTTTTGTGTTGGAGTCTTTGTTGACATTAAGCAAGGTTTAAGTTGTTGAGCTTACTGCTTATTGTCAGTGTCCTCAGATATGAATGATAAACACAATCTGCTGATGTGAAAGGTCAGAAGACAGACCGAGCACTTCTAACAATAACTCCTTTAAGCAAAAAGCTTTGTTGAATATCTACGGTTGATAGCAAAGTACTCTAGTTACAGTAACTTCTCAATGCTGTACTAGATTGCTTGCCATTCCAGATTGTTTTGATCCATCAACAGAAAAAAAACCCAAAACACTACAAACAAAAAAATTTCCTTGGTAACATGATTGAGACAAAATTACTAGAGATAGAAATGAAGGATTCATATCTGAAGCATATCTAAAAAAAGCATTGCAAAGTCCAAGGGAAGTTCCCATAACTGAAGACCTGATAGGTTACAGCATTTGAGTGTGTGTTGTGACCGAGATGCTTTAGGTCTCCTGGATGCCAGCCCCTCTGACAGGTAAGCCAGTGACTGTTCTTTAGCAATCCGTTTCTGCTACCCTTTCATGGGTATCCTTTCATCCTTGCTTCCTCCAGGTATCTCAGTATGCTCAACGGACTTGTTATCAGGTTACTCTCAAATCACCATTGCCAGGTGGCCAAACCCACACGGCATTGTTAGCTTCTCAGCTTCCATTTCGCAAAGACTTGCAGTCTTGAAAAGCTGGTGCGCTCTGAGGAATAATCCCCCCCTCAAGTTTAATTTAAATGGGCAACCCAATTTAAAGAAATCGTTGTTACCAGCCCTGTCTCCTCATCTCCCAATCTATGGATTTTATCTCGCTGTGAAAGGGGAGGGGAAAAAAAAAAAAGTGTATCTGCGACAAATTTCACTGTTTCAGACAGAATGATTCATCTGTATAACATGAGATTGCCCCAAATGATCACACTTAGCTTGCATGCATCTGCACATGTACATTCTGATCTTGCTTCTTAACTGTTCGATACAGTACATGGTTTTCTTTAATATATTAATTTTTTTTTCCCACTTCAAAGTAAACAGTGAGAATTATGAAGGCCCAGTAACAGTTAAAGAAAAAAAAAAAGGTTTAAAAGAGGTAGTGTTGCTATTACAATAGCACTGTGAAGGATGATGTACCAAAACAACCAACCCAATAAAAGATACACAGGCAAGGACATGGATACCTTACTAGGCATCTGATCACAACCTGCCGTTCTTGAGTGATTATGCCAAATATGTTTCTCAGTATCTGTATAAAATATCAAATTCTGTAAAGACTCTATCCAGTGTAAATAGCAGGTTCACTGTGATCCTTCAAGCCCCCCGAAGTTTTTATGGCTGCAGTTCAGAGTCTGCATATCTGTGTGTTACAAACGTGTTTAGACAAGAGCAGTAGTGCTGGACAGATGGCACAATACAATGTTCTAAAATGCGCTACTGGGAAATGGAAAGGCAGAAGAAACAATTCAGTGCAAAAAAATTATGTGGAAAAATGAATAGAGCATCACAGTATATGGATGGAAATAAATGGAAATGTAGCATTTGACTGTACAGAGAGGGTTGGAGCAGTGCTGCTCATGGCCCTTGGAGTAAGGTCCAGTCTAAGGTCACCAAGCACTAGAGAAATCTGTGAAAAGTTGGACCTAAACATGTGTTCTCAACAGGAAACCACTCCAACAGCTGATCCAATGACGGAAAACTTTTGGCTTAGCATATTTTCCCATCTAAACTGTTGACGTAAAAGGGTCAGTTGAGCAGTACAATCATCTGCAAAGCACTACTGCTGTCTGCTGTTGATAACATCAGTAAGAGCAATACTGGAAAATACCTTAAGTGTCTCAACAACATAAAACCAGTACTCATCATCCATACAAACCACGCAAAAAATTCTTCTAACAATACACAGAAATAAAATATACATACAGTCATAAAAACATACAAGCAGGTCAGAAGAAAATGGACCAGCAGTTAAGCAGGGAGACAAGAGTCCTGGTCTACCCTTTCAGGTAAGCACCCCAAACTTTGGTATAATTATTATCAAGTCCAGTGTTTTCCTCCACCTTAACAAAAATTCCATTCTGAATTGGAAAAACCTTCCTGATTAAAAAAAAAGTTATAACAGAATTGTTTTCTACGGACACAGTGGCAATTTTCAGGAAAAACAGGTTTAATAAAAAGATTTCTGATCAGCTTTAGCGTGTCAGTCAAACAGTTAAAAAAAAGAACAGCGATACTGTAGCAATTCTTCAATTTTGAAGGGGACAGGGGCTTTACAAGGCCTGGGTGCGGGAGCGGAGGCAGGCAGTGCCATGGTGGCTCGGTGAAGAGGGCTGTGCCAGAGGGTGGGTGGAAAGGAGAATGGAATGCAGGGAAGAAGGACGTTTGCAATGAAGGGAGGGAGGGGGAAGGGGATTTTCACATTAGAAAGGATAACCTATATACGGTATGGTGCATATGGGGAGATATGATAAACTGACCAGAGCTATGCTAGTTACAGATGGTTTTTGTGCTTTGGCTAGTAGATGGCTTATATGGATAGCAGTTCAAGATTTTTAATAAAAATTCAAGGCAGTGAGGTCTAGAGCTATAGAAACCCATAAAGAGTAATCTTAAAATCTTCTGCCAGAAATACATTGTGCTTGCTTTCGTCACTGTTTTCAGATTTATTTTTTTAAAAAAACATATACAAACATATGTATGTCAAAAGGTAGCATTAGTTTCATCAGACTTTTCTCTCTCTTCTCACACCAAAAAAGGGATGAAAATCCATTATTTGTTTATACAGATAGTGCAAAAATTTCTTCCAAAGTGCATTTCTCATGCCTGTTAAAATATTATGTTTTCCAGATAGTATCATAATGTTTCCAAAAACTGCAAGACAGAAGCAGATAATTGTAATTCTTCCACTTAGATTTCCAATATGTACACCAACAGAAGCAAGAAAGTAAAATATGATTCTGGTACTTCTATAAACCCTCATCAGAAATTGGCGAGATAAACAAAAATTCTGTATCCTCCTGGTCACAGGGACAATTTAGTTAGAACATCCATATAAGCAGTAGAATAGCTTTCAAAGAAAGATTATTATAATAGTTATTAAGATACAAAGTAAATGCTGAAATTATATATTTTTAAATATTAACCATTCACTAAAATGAACAGAATGAAAAATTTTAAATAAAAAAAGCTATAATTAAATATATTCATATATCAATCAGTGCAATTTGGTATAACTGATGTACTGTCACTTCATTCTTTTTCCCAAGTCTTGCATAATTATAGTTCTACAATTAACTGAATAGGCTAATCTACTTCTCTACTAAATTTTGCAGATTCATTTCTTTCTAACAAACCTGTCTTTTCTGAAGATATTAAAATGTATTTAAGATTCACTTGTTATTTTCCGATAGATGTACATAGTAAATTCTACTAATAATACCTGGGGGATTGATGAGGTTTCTGTGGCTATCGCACTCTATGGAAATAAAGAAGGATCAAATGTTGATCTCCCTGATAACTACACACCCCAAAAATTACCACCTATTTTAGATTATTGCAGTAGGTTGTTTAATATGGAAACCTGATTAACTCGACGAATATGCTAAGCTCCAGTTTCACATATCCAAATAATAGTAGGCATCTCAAAATTGCCAATTTACACTAACAACCAAATAGCCTCTGTGAATTACTGAAACAGACAGCAAAGCAATTAAAAAACCAAAACACATACATCTGAATGAAGCATTAGCTGTACTTTTCTCATTTAACATATTCTTAGTTTAATTTCAGTTTTAAGTAGTATACCACTGTGTCTGTTACCATGGCAGTTACGATACCAGATAAGAAGCTGTATTATTATAAAATATCTTATTGAGATAGTTTGGTTTTTTTTTAAACAAAACTTTGTGACAGCATCCTTCTGTAAACCTTTCACAAGAAATGGAGATACTACTGTAAGTTACTATTCAGAGTTCAGAGATTGATCATAAATACATTTATAATACTGATGCACATGCTTTTTATTTTTATGCAAAAAGTGAGTCTAGTGTATGTATAAATGCTTCAGATAATCACAAGTAGTAATTACAATTGTTTTCTACATATAGAGAGGTGAAAAGGCTTTCCTGCATAACATCTGCCCTCAGCCAAATTAAGTGGTACACAAAAGCTACGCATACATAAAAGTAATAAATGCTGCATGGGCTATACAGAAAACACTCCTCATCTAGAGCTCATTCATAGATTACCCTCATGGAATCTCATTTAAATGCAACAGAAACACCACTACAGTCTGCCGAGCTTCCACATCATTTCTACGAAAGCATCAAAGGTGAAGATTTCCAGACCACTTTCCCTGTACAGATTCGGTGTCGACTTTACTGAAAGGTAAAGAAGAGATGAGAAAGACGCTACCTGACTGGACTCTGTTCCGGCAACACTGAGATCTTGAATGGATCTGCGCCTCTGCTGTCCGTTTCCTGCTGGGAAAAAAACAAAACAAAAACAAACCAGTGAAATCTATTCAGAACAAAATAAGAAGGGTGCGACTGTTGCAGAGGAGCTTGGAATTTGTACAAATCCACAGAGAGAAAGTGAGAGAGAGGGAGAGAGAGACAGCTGCAGAATTTTAACTCAAAACATGCTGGCCTGTCAACAAAAAGTATACCCTAATACAATAACCACTCCTACCACATGAATAGCTGCTGCACTCTACTCCACCATCTTCTGTCACATGTATTTGGTCAGGCTTAGTACTCAGGGCAGGAGCTGATGACGACATCTATTTCAAGTGTGTTACGTTATGGGGATTTCTAAAAGCTAGACCACGAAGATAACAGGCTGCCAGCTTTAACCTGTTGCTCTTTGGCGTGCTCAAGGAACACAGCAAGGACTTCTGCCTGCATGCTGCTCCCCTCATGAAAATTAAGAAGCAAAAGCGCTTCCTTCTGGTCTCTGTCTCCTTCAGATGAACGAAACTATGTCCTATTCTCATGCTCTGAGAAGTGTGAAAAGGGGACTGTTCAGCTAAATCACATCTCACCATCAACCTACTGAGCACAATGCGGTAATCTTTTCCTCTTCTCCTTCCACCTGTTAGCAATTATCCACCAGTGACAGCTACATAAAACAGTTTAAATTTTAACACTGACAAGCAATCAAAGGCATTTCCAGGAAACAAAGTCTCCGTAAGAATAAAAGGAGATTATGCAACAGAATCTCTCCGGCTACTTTGATTTTTATTACGGTGATTGTTTATAATGTCTCTTGAGAGCAGGTCAGCTGTCCAAAAGGAAGCACCAAAACGTCCTGAGTAACAGCTGACAATGCTCAAAATTCTTGCTCTTCGCTCTGCCTTATGTAACTTTTCTACTGGAGAGAAGCGTCCGAAACGCGTCATGTGGCCGCCGCAGCCCCTCGCCCAGCCCTGTAACCAGCATCGCATTTTTAGCCTTTTATACTTCTTATTCAGCATCATTTCCATTTGAGTTCACAGCCGAGCTTGACAAGTGTTTTGATTTGCAACAGTTACCACAAAAATGTAAGACTATTTAATATTAATCAATATATTTAATGGTATCATACTTTAAGTTTTTGAATATAAGTACTATTACATGGAGGAACACATTGCCACAAAACAGCAATATAAAATGCTCAGTGTCACTTTACCAATTTGTCATGAGATTTTATAGTCTAAAATTTACAGAAAGTACTATGAGAAACAAGCATATAAGAAAATCAAGAAGGATTCTAGAATGGGAATATATTCTTTGCTCTGGCTACAAATGAATTTGGAACTTTTCTGTGGTCCTGATCTTTTGCCTCTGAAATTCAGAGAAAGGATATACTTACCTAAGCAACAATGGCTATATTATGTTTAATACTTTGATATTAGAGATTGTGTGAATGACAAATCTATGTCAAAATTTCTGAACTTGTTTCCTTTGCAGTGAACTTTTTCCCTACCTAATCATTTAACAAACAAGATTATACATTTAATAGAATTCTGTGCTGTGGGTACTTCATCTGGCTGCCACAGCTCATCTCAATATTCAAGATATGGGCGATCCACCCACGACCGATACAAAATTATGTTCACATTTCATTCAACAACACTGTTATAAAATTAGCTCGGCTGAAATAGGCTTGCAAAAATACCTGAAATTCTCATTTCAGATTAGCAACATTTGTGAATTTAAAGAACCCAGCACATGTGTTGCTGAAATATTAGAACATGGCTGCCAAAATGTTAAAATAATCAGGGTGGGGTACAAGAAAGAAAAGAAAATGCCTTGGGGAGAGAAAGAGGGGCCAAAACTACTGTGTTGTAATAAATGAACACCTTTAAATGAAATATCTTCAAGTTAGTAGCATGAGGGAAGAGCAAGCTCTACTAGGCAATGCCATTTTAATTAGTGTAACTACTGCAGACATCTGGCAAATAGCTTCGACAAAGCAGAAACAGACTACGAATCAACAAATACTTATTGCTCCAGATTCAAGACAAGTTTCAATTGAAAAATATACTATACAACATATAATCTTTATTTGAAATGATCACTGCTGCTTCTCTATGCTTTCCTCACCATTTTGATCTTCTTATCTCTATGTCCATTTAAAACTCATTTTTTTCTCATTATAAAAACTAAGAGATTTGGAAATGCACAGAAGTTAATATACAGTAGCTTGATGCACTATGTCAGGATTTCAGTGGTTTCCAGGATTTTAAGATTAAAAATAAAATATCACAAGCATACTTCCTGGTCTCAAAAACCCCCCATTTCACATACTGTTGTTTATTTTCTAAAATGAAATTCAAAAGGACAGGAAACTCCCATTGTGTCCTGCCCCACATACTCCAGCAAAAACAAATTCTACAACTTATTAAGGGTTTTGATCAACCCCCCACTCCCTGCCAAATATCCAGACCAGCTATGAACTCTCCTCCCTGCCCTTTAGCAGATACTTGCGTCTCCTTTTACACTTTCTTATTTGTGCATAGTATTCTCTCTTCCTTACACACCTTACAAGACCCAAACCTCTCTCACAGTGCAGGATGACCAGCAAATGTTAATGGTGCTAGAAGACATTTTAAAGAAGTTAAAACATCAATTTGAATTCCAGAAAAATGAAGTGATCTGGGGAGACAAGGGTAGGATTTCTGGCTTACATTGGTTTCAAAAGTAGATGGAAAAATTACAGACCTAAAGCATCTATAATTCCTATCCACTTTCTAAAGACACTCAACAAAATGTGTCTATCCTAATCATTTATGCAGTGTCAATGCTATAAAAATCTTAATGGTGTGGCGCAGTTTCAGATGACAAAATTACAAAACCAAATGTACGCATGCTATATGCATGAGATGTCTAATGCTACCAGTGAAGAAAAGGCTGTACTTGAAGGTATATTTGCTAGATGCTGCTTGACTGATTTGTATCAAAAAGGTGTTCTGATCATTTTTCTTGATCATATTACAAACTATACTTAGAATTTTTTTTTTGTTTCTTTAAACATACAGCTACTTAAGCTTTTGGTAGTTGCTAGGGGTTTTTATTTTTATATATATATATGAAAAGTCAGTGCTTATTATCTACACTATATATTATATATACTATTAACAGAAAAAAAAATATTTGATACTTCACTTGACTATCTGGTTGCAGATTACCACCACTGAAAACTCATTTGCCAAGGTGTTACACAAACAAGGAATTAGTTGATCCATTTTTCAGTTTTTAAGGTTTGTAAGCTAGTAACACAGAACAGCATCTGAAATGAATGAAAGTCCTATTCACCCTTATTTAAACCTACTTAGAAAGAAGAGCAAATATGTATTAAGAACTTCCACCAACATTTTACCTTCAACTGATAAAAATTTGCATTTTATGACCTCGGTAGCATAATCGGTTCATGGGTGAAAAGCAGCTGAGGCAACACATTACGAAAAACCCCAATGATAGCAGAGGTAGTACTCATACTTCTAAAATAGCCCAGCCCCAAAGCAGCTGACTCATGGTAACATGCCTGCGTGGTGCCTCCCCTCTCTGGGAAGCAGCTGCTTTACCATGTGCTCAGCAGAACTTCAGGCAGCAGCACAGACTGGGTCGGCTGCCCCAAGGACCGACTCGGGCTGCTCGCCCCACCGATGGACATGCCCAGGGAAGTTCAGAGGAGCTGGGTATGTGGCAGAAGTGCTAAGGAACGTAACAGGGTGGGATCGAGACGGAGACACCAGTTTGAGGGTCTTGGAGCTATAACTGGATGGGGAAAAATGTGTTCAGAGGCCAGGACGGAAAGCCTTGTGCTGAGAGAGTAAGGAAAGGAAAGAGGTGAGAAATGGGTCACGTTATATTGTCTTTTAAAGAATAACTGAGCAAGGTATTTTTGAATAACTGCCTTAAGTATACAGATAAATATAATTAGTTTACTGGGCAGATGATCACATCCCTGTCATGTAAAAATTAATCTCTTTTTTTTTCAGGCCTTGGGATTCTTATGGGAAAGCTGTTCTGACAACCAGAAAACTTTCAATATACAGCCCAGACTTATTTGCAGACAATTCACATCTTTCTCCCAATACTGTCTTTTAGCTCAAGTAGTTCTCTCCTCAGTGCCTTTGGCTGCAGATTCATCTATAGAAAACAATTATTTATTTCTCAGCTTTCATTTTGTGGGTTAGAAAAGCCATGCTTTCAGATTCTTCTTTACACTCTCCATACCATCCTAGTAGCTCTTCTTGCTATTATTTCAGAGTGCATGTATGTTTCTTTTATATGGCTGCCCAGAACAGTGTGTTGAATTCCTGATTAAACCTTAACAAGGGCCTGTAAATAGTGTTAGTGCTTCCTTATCTTTCCCGGAAATGAACACAAAGATAATCACAGTTTTTCACAGCTGCGTTACATTAGTGGCTTATACTACCTGGGATTAATCTGCATGCATCTGCTACAGTCCCATGTCACCTTATTAAAAGAAATTGTTGCTAGTGTATGACCCATAATTATGACCCTGAATTTTACCCTATTTCTATTATTCTTTTTCTCCAGTCACAACAAAATTCACCCTATCTGATACTCTCATCCTCCTCTTTATGAACAGTCTCTGCTGATAAGACATTAACAGTGAATTTCATTATTATTTATTTAAGACTTAAATACCCTAAGAGGAAATTTTGAGAAAATTCATTAACATGCTTGCTCCAATCCTATACTTTCTTTCATTTCTACAGGTTCCTATTTCTCTCATTATCTATTCCCAATTGACCTTGGAATTCCCATCCTGTCAAGTTCAATTAAAATAGTCCAGGTGAAGAATATCTAATTGACTGCCTAAATAAGTAAAACCAATAGACTGGTACAATCTATTTTGTGAAAACAACATGGCATTTTATTTCACTGACTTTTTAATTATTCTCTAGAAGTTTCACTTGGAAGCCTCAGTGCTGTTACATTCAGACAGTGTGCACCGACAAGAGGCACTCAGGTAGCTTCTGGAGCTTATTTACCAGGTTCTCCTCATTTGTTGACACTGCAAAACTTGACAGATGTCTTCACTTTCTCTTTCCTTGCTCTCTCAGGATTTCATTTATGTCACGGTAGGCCAGGACCGTTTGAAAATTACAACAGAAAGCTACACTAGTAAACTTGCTTGCTGATTTGTTAGCCTCAGTGCCAAGTAAGTTTTCTTTTCATGGGGACTGCTATTGTTCTTTGGAATCTACTTTTTGACACTGTGTATTTTTATATGTAAACTTCAATAAAAGTTATTTGAAAAATACTTCTGTACAAAATTATCTTTTGTGTTCAACTTTAAAATACCAAACAACGTTAAGATTTACAAGGAAACTTCCTCAGATGACATAAATTTAGAGTAGGGGGTCCACAGTTTTTAATGGATCTCTAGATTAACAGTAGATACTATTACTTGCATCTCCTGCCTCTGACAAATCATTTTGAAGCCACTTGCATACGGCTAATGGCATACCTACCACGGTTTGGGATAATGGCATACCTACCACGGTTTGGGATTGATTATACTTATTTTTAGGCTTTGAGAAGTATGAAATGAAAGAAAGAAATCCACTTTGATTGCAAAAAAAGGAATGGGAAAGGAAAACGACGTGCTGGTGACTAAATATAGACTTGGGATAGATGAGAATTATTCATTCAAGTCCCAAATGAAATTACCAGCTATGGTACCTGATTATACTGATTTTCTTCCTGTCAGAAGCCTCTCCTAATAATTTTCGTTTGCATTAACTTAAACACAACAGAAATACCTCATGCAGACATATTTTAGCTCTATAAAAGTGTAGTCAAATGGAAGAATTGCACAGATTAGGCGTTATTTTTTTTAATCACAAGTATCATGTGGATTTGAAGTTCTGTATGTAATTAATTAAGCTTTCTGTTCTACTAATATTTAAATTAGATTAAAAATAGATGCTCAAACACAACAAAGATAAGGGCAAGAGAACTACCTAGACACGAATTGTTCATCTTTACATTTTGACTAAATGAGGTATTGTAATAAAAGACTGCATATATAGTTTTGCTCTATAAGAAGACGCTGAACCTCAAGATCATGAAGGAAAAAATTCTTTATCAATAAAAGTCAATTCGAACTAGAAGATCGAATCCTTTACTGGCGAAGGTAAGTTTGTACTAAAACAACATGCTCCTCTTTACAGAGCCATTATGAAAAAATTATTGTGCTAATTTCTAGTTCTGTCCTAGAGCTACTGGAGCAAAAAGTATTTTTAGCAGTCTGATCATTATTCCGGCATCTTAACCAATTGACCCGTTCACCTGGTCTGCGATACCTGGTATGATGATCTCAGGGACATCCAGAATGTTGCCAAATGAAGCAGTTTTACGATGGCCTCGTTTAGGCTTGGAATAGGCTGAAAAAATACACATATACAATACACATGCAAAACACTAAAATGGCAATAGCAAAATTATTAAATTCCTAATACTGCATTTTTCATAAACTTGGTTAAACTATAGTTCATGCAAAAATGTGTCATGCAGAATAAACTGCATTGCCTTCCACTCATGCTTACATGTAGTAAAGCAACTGTTAAAAAGCAAAAAATGCAGAACTAGCCATCATTACAACACCGTGTAATTAGTTAATAGTTAGCAACACAAAAGTCAAACACAGAAAGCAGCATGGCAACAAGGAAGGGAAAACTAAATGTAATTATCCAAACAGAACAAATTAAATTATTTCAGACTACCTGTATATTCAGAATAAATTCTTGATTGCCTGAACTTATATAACACTTTCTCTTCAGTGTTCGGTACAAACTATTTTATAAACAAGATTAATAGTTGGGTACTTCTGTTTCTTTAAATCACCTCCTTTTAAAAGGGAATCTCATCTGCCTCTGAAAAAATGCTTACTCTTATTACATTTGACAATCATTCCTGCCTTCCATTCTTTTGCCCTATTAGTGAAGATTTTTTGTTTTGCAAACTGGGTATCACTACCAACTTTTTCATTTTTGAATGATGTTCAAGAAATAATATATACTTTGGAATAAAATCTAATCATACATTTTTTATTTTTATTTTACTACTTGTATAGTTTAAGATAAATAGTTTCCATTTAGAGAAAAGTCTGAATACATTTCCCAAAGGTAGAATATTGCAGCATATCCATCTCAAACTTAATAAGTAATGGTGACGTGCATTATATAATTCACTCTCACTCAAGCTAGCGACAGATGGAACAAGAAGATTAAATAATTCTTGACCTGATTTACTCTTAACAACAGCCCAATTCTCACCCAGCCACACAATTTTTTTCAGGTTCACAGCATATTATTCCTGTCACACAGTTAACAAGATTAAAAAACAAAGCAAAACCAATACAGTGCTGTTTCAGCTCTTTTTGAAAAAGTTCCGGTCAGATGGGTCTGATCTCATTTCTAGTAGTCCACTACTGCCTGAAGTGATTTCTTAAAAAAACATAACTAGTATGTTCAATATATACTTTTGTTTCAAGAAAAAGAAACCCTACAGTCATAACCACAAAAAACCCTGAACAAACAAACTTAGAATATTCTGAAATAATAATTACTATTCAGAGCAATGTACTTAAGGAAGACAAACCAGGAAAATTAAAAACTCACACAACAAAGGAGGGCCAGGTTATCTCCACTAAAGTCAAAACCTTACATTGACTTTAGAGTGTCAGTGACCAAAGTGAGCCCTGACTTATTTTAAAATAAACCAGCATGTTATTATTATCTGGTAAGTACACAGCTGCCTTCTGTGTTAGGAAACCTTTAGAGATATTCAGGGTGAGATGTGCTACACAATCATATAGTCAAAGACTGACAATACAAAAGACAATTTTTGGAATAAGGCTTTAAAATAAGAACATAAGAATAAAAGGTGTTTAGGGCAAGATAAGGATTACTTCAGTATTTAGCAAAACAAGATCCTGGAGTAATCATAATACAATGAAGAACAAAAATGAAATAGTTATGGTGCACAAGAAAGCCAGAATATGATGCATATTTCCTTATTAATTACAGATACTCAATTACCCTACTCTTCAGATTGGTAGAAAAAATACTAGAACCGTTAAACAACCCTGGACTAATCAAAGTAATTTTGTTTGATTATTTAAATCTGTGGTTGTATACCATAAAAAAAAAAAAGTTTCACATACGAAACTTAAAACCTGAAGTTTGCATAGATTAAGAAACAATATCTTTGATGAAGAAAAGAGACAAGAAAGTGTTTGCCAAGTAGACACATTTTTATTAATTCACTTTTCTGGGAAGAATAAAGATTGCTTTCACCATAAAATTATGTATTCATACTTACACATAAACTCCAATTCACTTAAGGATTCAATGTTTAGACACAACAGTTTATAGCTACCTGAAGCAAACCTGGCAAAACACCTGTAGGTGTTTGTTTTGTTTTTTATAACGGAAGATACCAAAGCTCTGTTAATCTGATAAATAAAATCTAACTACGTCTGTCTTTCTGAAATCTGCCAAAGTCGTTTTTAAAACTTATATGGGAACATGCTGAACTTTAAATCCACCTCTTAATTTCAAAATATTACAGAAATAACCTTGAAGGAAATGTTATTTTAGAAATAATTGTGCTAGCAGAGATGGATTAACATTATTTCAGATGCAAAGGAGAAAGTTGTGCATTTGGAATAGGGCTGATATTTAGAAGTCTCATACTGATTTTTTAAAAATGTAGAAGTCTAATTCAACAAAAGGAATCTCTTCTGCAACCTTAAAAGTACCCAATTAAAATACTCATCCTCTTTGAGTGTACAACCGTGAACGAAGCCAGTTTGCCCCCCAATTAATAAAGGACAATAAAGACTATGTGAAAAATTAAAGTATTTTCATATGGCTAATTGTATTAACGTTCTGTAAGACTATGCATGTTTTACATCTTCCTTCCTCCTCTCCTTTCTTCCAATTCCTTAAGTCTATCCCCAAAACATCCTTTAATTTTACCTGTGATGGAAGCTATTCTTGCTTCTATTTCAGACATGTCAGCACTCATCCTTTTGGCTTCTCCTGAAACAAGGGCTGACTGTGGTCGTGCACGAACATCTGACAAGCTCTCCACACTGCTCCCACGAGACGGGGGTAAACTCAAACGGCCAGGATCACCCTGTTTCAACAGTCACATTTTTAAAAGGAAAAAAAAAATCTGCAGAAGCCCCTCCATGATATGCACAGTATGTAGTTTAAAATATATTTCTACAATGTGCATTTTAAAAGTGACAAATTTAAAATTTATAATACAATAAATAGTAGTATTTTAGCTATTGGCATGCAAGAACCAAACATCTGCATCTTTCAAAAGAATCTAACTTTGTGCAGATAAAAATTGATCATTAGGCCAATATGGTCACAAGAGAATCTTTGTATTTTTTCATCCTACTTGAAATAAAACATAGTATTTCCAAAATTCACATAAATGTTTAATCCTTTCTTGTCATACTAACATTTTGGTTCTAAATTAAGGCAACAATTTTCAAATATGATTTTTTTCAACCTAATGAATCCCTTTAAATAATATGAACTATTTTTTTATTTCATTGGAGAACTATTAGAGCCTTCCAGTTTACTTTTTTGGAATAATTCAATATTTTTCCATCCCCTTTCATGTTCTATTCCTATAACTACATGTCCCCAATTTTGTACTATTTTTGAAAGAAGACACTACTGTTTCATAGCAGTTACAATAATTTTGTCCACCTTTGTCCATTTCATTATTATGGTTCAAAATTGCATGTGTTGGCTTACCGGCTGCTTGGCTGTATTTTTCATTTGCTGTGCCAATTTTGACTCTAAACGTTTAATAGTGTCATTGGTAGAAGCTCCTTGGAAGTCACTTGGTTCCATGTTAGCATCACTCTTGTTACTTGTGTTTGTAGATGTGATGTCCATGAATGAACCTAGAAATCAGTGACAAGGAAAAATGTTAGTATTTTTCATGGAAATTCTCAAAAGTGCATCTCTTGACTTGAGCATTCTGGAAGCCTAACTTTGCTTTAAAGCAACACTGTTGAAAACTTTTAATGGAAAGCAAGCTACAAGATTGCAATATATCCATTCATGTAAAAAGTAAAAGGAGTTAAAAAGAATACATGGCTAAGTACTATGATGACATTCTGAAGTCCATCTTTAGCTTGCCCTGAAATTGAGGTAGATGTTATATTAACAACAGAACCAGCAATCTCATTCACTATTAATGACAAAGTCCATCATTAACCATAGAGGAGCACAAACACCTGAAAAATAAAGACAATATATATTCACACTTTAAAGCGATAAATCATATCTTAAAATCATGGGCTGAGGGGTGGAGAACCACTAGTAAAGTCAGTACAATGCTACAGCTGAAAAGATTTTGTAATACACAGGTCACTAAGTTGCAAAGTAGCCAAGGAAACATTACCCAAAATAACAGCAATTTGTTTGGAGACAGAAAACAAACCAACCAAGCAGTGGAAGGTGAAGACACCTAAGATTAAAAACAACTGAAGTGGGAAAACTGTACTCTAAAAAATGAGAACACCAAGTGATCTTTGTTTTCTATTATTAAAAAGATTTCTCTGAGGGCAAGACTACCTGAAAGCCTAGCCCACATTTTGTTCCATTCACCTTTCTAGTTATTTCCTGGCACTTAATTTAAATTACTGTATTTACTGCATCTTAACATAAAACAACTGCAAGCTTAAATTGTGGAGATCATAACTGAAAGCAGGTGCAGCTTTCAAGAATAGTCAGAACCTTAAAAATGTCAACTCCTAAACATTACATATGAGTGAAAGTGTCAATTGCTAGCAACCTTCATGGGGAAAAAAAGGAGGAGACCTTAAACCTGGACATTCAGAGACAGCTTTTATTATATGTTTGTTCTCTATTAAAGGTACACTTCAGCAAAATCATTTGGCCGAGAACACTAAATATGATGTGGTATGAGGTCTTAACAAAAAAATAGATTCCTGCCAATGCTTAAAATTTTGGAAATGTTACCTTTCCCAATTTGACTTCAAAATCAATATGAGAATGTGCTTTAAAATCCATCTGCATCATTTCATGTTGCTGTTCTTTTCTCTTATTTATGCAAGTGTACCTGTACTAGTGGCAGAGTTGCTTTGGCCTTCATCTGAATATTGGCAAGGATACTGCAGAGGTTCATCAGCTCCTGGAAAGTACTGTGAAAAAACAGCAATAATTTGATAAAAAAGCAATTAACAATTGTTTTAAAATTATTTAACTAGAACCTCATAAAATAACGTATAAATATAAATTATATATTATAATAATTTATTTAGAAGAGAAATAAATGCAAATATTTTTAGTAATACATTAAAATACATCTATTTTTATTAATTCCCCCAAATCCGTTATGAATTAGTATACCTCTCCCATAAGGAGAGGAATGATTTCCCTTCTCTACTATATCAATTTTTATCAAAAAGAGAGAGAAGAGTGAGAGAAAACATGCAAGCCTGCCTTTGGAGTGTGATAAAAAGCAAACTTTTATAATTCAATTTCCCAACTTAATAGGTTAAGAAATGATTAAGATACTAAAATAAAGTTTTATACCCGCATCAAGTGTGTCATTATTTTAACAATTTCCTCCATGGATGGTCGTTGTGAGGGATCCTTGGACCAACAACGGGTCATTAAACTCTCAATTGGTTTAGGTAAGTTTTTGATCAGTGGTGGCCGAGTACCTGTAATTGAAATTGGAAAAAACCCTTTATTTGTTAAACAGACCATAAGACGACTGACAGTGACTGATCGCTCTCCAGTACTTTGCTAAAAAATACAGGAAAATGTATAGTTAATTGTAGTCTGAAAGAACTGGCCTGTACTTAATTTTCTCTTACAATACTTATAATGGCTAATGAATATGTTACCAATTCTTGAAGAATAAAGCTCTAGACCAAACTAGGAAGCAAGTAGTAATAGTCTTTGGTTCCTAATGCTGTACACAAGCGAGGGAAAAAAAAGAAGTGTATTAACCATAACAAGTAATACATGAGGTAAGAGTGCCACAATAGTTTCAAGTGAGATGAAGCACACTAACACTTCCTTCCTAAGAAGGAAAAAAAAAAAGGAGGGGGAAAAAAAAAAAAGAGCGAGAAGTTTTTAAAGCAAAAGTAGGGACAGATAGGGAATATGTCTTCCCCTAAAGGATACTCCGGCACCTTACCAAGGCTTTCTGATTTCTGACTATTACATCTATGCTTATTTTTACAGTTAACGTTTTTATGCAGGGCACTCATCAGTCCTAATCTCAATGACTCATGTCCTTGAAAAACTGAAAGGAAGAATCTTCATTCAAAAATGCCATTTGCAAACATCTATCTTTGCGCATTATTATGACTATAACGCTCAGCCATCCTATCACTGTCTGCCCCTTTCTCTTCTTCATTGAATAGGATGCCTGTGCTCACCTTAAGCTTCTATCACTTAGTATTGAAGCAATGACACTCAGGCAGAGTACCGGCCTTCATTGCTTGTTTGTTAATTACGTCTTCCAAACAAGTTCGTGCTTTCTTTGATGTTGTCTTTCACAAATGGCAGAAAGTCTTTGCAGACATTCACTGAACTACTTCACTATCATTACTTTATTCTTCTTAAAACTCTGCTTTGCCATGGTACCTAGAAACACACTGTTAAAAAAGTTACACCACTAGCATGAAGATACTACAGTCTACAATTCTGACCAATGTTGTACCACTGCTTTCTTCTGTCTATTTGAATCCAACCATCGTCTCCTGTTTATATTCTAAGCTCCTGAAAATCTGTTCTGTATAATACCTAGCACAGTAGAGCCTTGCTCCATGACTGCAGGTCACCTAGATATAAAGGTAAAACAATTCAATCAAAACAATCCCCACTCACCCCCCCCAAAAGATGAAAAACATTTTAAATGCCTAATGGTCCTGCAGAAGTTTGACAGTTTCTAGTATTTCTGAAGACATGGCAAGTTACTTAAACTCACACATTTTCTGTAGATGCCCAAAGGGAAAAAAAAAAAAAAGAGGACAAAAAAAAAAAGACATGACAACTTGGCTAATAAAATTGTCATTCACCTAGACAGAGGGGTTGTGGGTTTTTTGTAGCACATGATTCAGATCGCTTTTAAAATGGAGTGTCATAACAAAAAGAACATGTCTCTTTTCCCTTGTTTGTTCATAAACTAGGTACATGTAGCAGGAAATACAAGCACTGTAGCAGCCAAATAACACAAAACCCACACAGACACAAAAGTGGTAGTGTCTACTATTAAGTCTTAATGACAAAAATGCATGTTTAATGAAGTACAAAATGGGAAAACTAGTAATTTAAAGCTGCACGGTTAAGAGTGTTTAGCAAATTTATAGGTCAAACCCACAACTTCAAATACAATAAAGTATTTTCAACTCACCATTGTGAACTGCCCACATTATGCGGAAAGCTGGACCACCAATCTCATCAAAAGGTTTCCTACGAGTGATTACCTCCCAGAGAATAATACCCCAACTGAAAACATCACATTTTTCACTGTAATTGCTACCTGGAAGAAAGCCATCAATATAGTTTGTCTCTTTTCTATATAACACATTAAAAAGAAATACACTTTGAGCTGATAGAAAACTCTATATGCTTCCTTTCACTTCACATTTGTTTTGCTGCAAAAAAGCAGTTTTCCAAAGCTGGCTGATTCACACTAACTTAAGTCTGAAATCATTTGACAGTAGGATCGTTAAGAATGCCTGTCCCTGGAAATCAATCTTTTTCACTTGGAGTAATCCTGGAATGAAAAAATGTGTCAGTTTTCTTCATAAAACACAATTTATTAATTTTCACAGATCTCCTGCATTCAGGATTTAACTGATTAGGCTTGCTTCCTCTAAACATTCTTCTTCAACTCACTTCTTCCATGTTAGTCCCAATATGCCAGCCAATAACATCTCTGTCATATCCATTGGTCTTTATTAATTACAGGCCTTTAGCAGAACTAGTTAAGTTACCATATGAACAAATCAGCAGACTACTCAATTCCTCACCATCTTATTTCCTCCCTGTTTACTATTCTTACTCTTTTTGTCATGTCATTAAAGTTCTTTGACCATAACTTCAATGTTTCTAAGACTCCTGTGAAAGGTACAGAAGACACAAAGGTGATATAGAATAATGAATAAAAATGTTCAGAGACTGCAAAGAAAGAATGTATGCTCTGCAACCGTAACTCTTGTAAATACTAAAAACAAATGTGAATGGCTAATGACATAACAATAAATGCGTGAATATAAATGATAGAGATTCGCTCATCTGTCTTCAAACAAGGGTCAAAACTGGCATCAAGTGGCCAAGAGAATTTTTTGTTAATACTTAATCGAAAAGCATCACTGAGACAAATAATTTCATAAACACTGGAATTAAAGAAGCCTACTTTCATATGGATACACACCATATACCATCCAGTTGCAACAGGCTCCATGCTACCTATGAGCCATCTTCCTCTGACCCCAAACCTCTCACAAACTGTGCAAGGAAAGCAGCATCTTCTCAGGCCAGTTCTTGCAGACCAGTCAGTTGGCAAGGCAGACAGGAAACAGGCTACAGCATGAACCACAAGTCCTCGCTAAGCGAAGGCACTAATCTGGACTTCTCCCAGCTACTGATTCTACAAAACTCTTTAAGAACTTGGCATCTCCAAAACTCTTTACACCTATATCAAAGTAGCTGGATGTAGCTAACGAGTTCAAAAGTTACTGAAGGAAAATAACGAAGCCAGCTTTATCAGTCAGCTTATTTTCAAAGGTGCTGGAAAAAAAAAA